TTTTCCCCCCCCCCCCCCGCCCCCCTCTCTCTCGCTCTCTGTTTATTTCTCTTTAGTTATGAATATGAATGCAGTGTACTCTAATATCGTGTGAATGTTTCTATGAACGCTTCTATATCAAAAATCGCCAGTGAACGTGGAAGCTTGCAAGCTTCGAGCCAATCCTGCTATTCCCAATTCGGAGTGAAGCCCTCCAGCTGAAGCTCGTTCTCCGATAGGGACCATGCAGCTTCGTTCGTTAGTCTCCTGGAAAAATGTCAAACCATTCTCTGGCGCCAGGAATCACTGGAATAGACTCTTTGACACTTCCCATACCTTTCAGCTATCGCAAAACACACGATTGATTCTGCACGCTGCACTTCGTCCTCTCAATTGAATAAGGCGTTTGAAAAATGTTTCAAAAATATTTATATATATTTTCTAGTATTTTCATACTCACGATACACCATTCGGAAGAAGAAGGACACTCCTTCAGATGCATTTGAGCTGTGTGATTGATGCAGGGGGTGATACTGCCAACCCCATCGTTGTACTGTCCACATTTGTAGCACCTGACAGCCTGTGTAACCCCTGCAAAAAAAATATATTTATTAATAATAATTAAAGTAGATATTAATTATATGTTCCGTGAATTGTACAATGTGTAAGGACTATTAAAAATGTGTATATTCCAATTAATTTATCTCAGCGCGAGTCAAGAAGGGTTTTTTCTTCATTTATACGTCAATCGCGCAAATCAATAAAACGCACCTGTAACTAATTACCAGACGTAATTATTGCGTAAGGTAAAGATCTCAATGGCTTCCACTCACAGTGAAAATCCAATTAACCTAATCTCGTGTTAACGCGTAGTCTATTTCCTTGCCTTTTCATCGATCAGCCATTACGCTCACAATGTCCATTGTGAGGAATAGTTAAATGCTACAAAAGATTGGCGTCTACGTTAAATTTAGCAAGACTCTTCATTCCTCTCAGTCCCCATCAATTAAGGTAGCACCGGTGCCCAAAATTTATACGGCCTATAAAACATTTAATTAGCACTCGCGTAACGTCCGATCTCATAAAACGGTGGGAACGAACTTTGACCGTAAAATGGAGACTCGCCTCTGTCCGATCCAGCCAAATGACTGAACGTGAACCGGTACCCGATTATTAACTCGGATCCATTAAAAGCATTGACCTCAATTGACCTCGTGCTTTCCTCAAAGTTCGGCATTTTTCTCCGCGTCTATACGCTCGTTAAACGCAGCGAGACTCAACTTTCTCTTCCGAGTTTCACGAACGTATTCAGCCCCAAGGCATGTGGCACCCTCTATCCACGAGTCAAATAAAGCGTGTTCATACCTTATACGGAAACTTTCCACCACAGGAAAGACTAGGTAATATTTCCTGGCATTGAAAAAATGTTGATCAAAATTTTAATTATTTAAAAAGCTGCCTCCGATAAGCGTTAAAACTAATGTAAAAGTCAATAAGGCCGGTTTATAAATCTACGAAATCGTCCATAAAAACATTCTAGAGTACTACCTCGTTATAAGGGAACTCGTAAGGGAATATCTTCTCCATTCCTCTTGACTGAACCTTCTCCACTTAAACTTTGTGCATCAAACGCACCTAACTTTGACGCCATACGTTTTCCTGTGTTATTCGCTATGCCATCTCACAATCCGACACCTTTCGCCCTGCGTGTTTTACTGTACACTGTGATTCCCTTATAGAGCAACGTTGATGCTAACAGACCCTACGATTCCCGTGCTCGCCAAGGAGTAGTGGGGGGTTAGGCTCGAGCGACTAATTTCTTAGAATCTTAATCCCCTAGCCAAGCCAGCATTCCTTTACAGCTAGGTAGTACTATAGTATTCTTTTTCAATAATCGTGATCTTCAAGGGTACTTTATTGAAAATAGGAAAAAAAAACCATCAGACATATTCCTGAAATATACTATAGATAGAAGTGTGTATATAGGTATAGGAACGGATACAAGCAAGCTGGGCATGGAAGCGAATGTAAAAGTGTTTCACAGATAACCGGATATCACGTCACGGTCCATCGGTCAATTGGTGAGTTGGTCATCGCGCGGCCATATACGATCGATAATCCTTCTAGCGTTGTTTTCCTATTTCCACTGGAATATTTCCCACCGACGCAAAAGTCGCCACAGCAATGTGCCATTCAGAGAAAAAGGCACAATAAAGAGACACAGAACCACGATAAGAGACAACTTTTCCAATTTCCCGAACTGTTCAAGATCCGATACAACACGTGACCCTTCAACCTCCGCTCCTCTTACTAACCGGAAACACTAAGATACACCCGGTACCAATCACTGAACTAACACGTTTATCAACACGTCTACTGTTTATCGAAGACTTTCCCTCCTGACTTTTTCATAGACATCGGTCCCCTCGATGATTATCGGCCCTACTCTAATACTATACTATTACCCTAACTGAAATTTCCTATTTGACCCTCCCTGTCCCGGAAACTATCTTAATCTTCGATCCTGATCGGTTTCCGATCATCCGTATTTTCAGGCGCGTTACACACTGTGAAGATCTAATCGGCAGGAATCAAAGAAGAAAAAGAAGTCTTCGCTCAACCTGACGCATCTGGGTTATCTACACGGATGTGCAGACTGCAGTTTGCACTACTGGGCAATGTACGCTGCAGTGGCGCACTCTGCCAGAAGTTACTGGAGAAGAAAACGAATCGGTGAGAAATCCGCAAACCGTTTTTCCATCTGTTCAGCCTTTGTCTTCCTTTCTTCGCGTGTCTGGCCGTTCTTTTGTTTCTACTGGCATGTTCTTTAATCTCTGGAACAAATACATTTCACGGACAACTGAACGGAATCGAGAAAGAAAATGTCGTGAGGCACGATGAGTATGATAGAGAGTACAATAACCTGTTTTACCGAGCTAGATAATATTCGTCCGGTTCTTTCGATGAAACGAAACCCACTGTAACGGAAGTGCTCGATGAAGCGTTGTCTGCTATATTTAAATCGCACTAGCCATAGGTACTACCTGGACTCGTCTCCAGGGTATTTTTGACCGGAAACTCATCAAAATGAACTTTCGTAGTCAATCCCGTACTCCCGTGTTTCGTCTCGCTGATTTCGAAACAATTTAAACTTTCCAAAGCCCCAACGACGCCGTCTCGACAACTCAACGGGGCAGGAGTGGAAACCAGGACTGACTGTTCCCTGGTTACGCTTACGTCAAACGTGGAGAATGATTGTAGATGAATTCCCGCGTACCTGAGAAAACTTTTCAATTTCAAGAAATTTCACTTCATAACGAAATCAATCTATTACCGTGTACGTTGAAGTGAGAATGGAAATTTTGGCAACGTTGGTTCTGAACTTTTGGACAAATTACTTTTCATTGAGTTTGTAGCTACGAGTTTCTTACACTGATTTCCATACCATAATATCTGCCTCTCCCTTCTTGGCAACGACGCGTACTCATTCATCTCGATGAGCTTCCCAATTAACACGATGTAAATGTATAGCTTCATTTATTAGTCAACATATACGTATACAGGCAAAGGGACGAATTAACATGTAGAAATTACAAAGTCAAACTCTATTTGTCCTAATCAGAATAATACCCCAGGGGTAAGCATTACTTGCTGTACCGTAAGTTACCAGAAAGTTCACCCGTCATTTTCGAAATTCCTATGATGAACATTTTCTATCCTCAATCTAGCATTTTTACGTCAAACTTGTCAGTCTTCTTTTTAATTTCTTTTTTTTTTTTCAAAGAAATGACTTTTCTTCCTGGATGTTCGGAACAGGCCATAAATTTTCTACCCACTCCATCGGCTCACTGACTGCATGGTAAAATTCCCAAAGAGAGCTGTCACTTCCATACTGTGTTTTTTTTTCGATGTTTCATGGTACAGCAAGGTGCGAGCTGTCTAACGCCAATAGTTCGATACGTGCGGAGCCTCCGCAACGATTTACCCTGTTTCGCCCAAGCCCGGGAGCTTAGTCGAAGCAAGCAGACAACGCCATAGCGTTATATCGTAATTTCATGGGTAATTGAGCCACTCGCTACCGGGATTCCCATGTGCAAGGAAGCTGCTGAGATACCGCAACAGAAGATTCAGGGACGTACGTCGTATATATATAACTTATCCACCCGTGTCTAGTTATATTCAGTATTTTTATTACTGTGAAGTGTGTCGCGCGCTTCTTCCGCTCGTAGGGTAAGAGGGCAGGTCGATCGCTTCTTTGAAAATGGATGAGCAAGGTACAAGGAAGAGGTAGACTTTATAGGGGATCGTGATAAATTTAATAAGATATTTACGAGGAGCAGCCATAAGAGAGCCGTCAAGTCTTAGACTTTGAAAAATTTGATTATCTTTTCATATTACCTGCATTGAAACAGCGAGTTACAATGTCTGCCAGTCGAAACGACCCAATTTCAGACCGATGCGATTTACCGGACAGAAAACGTCTACTTTCTGTCCGGTAAATTAGTTGCGGACTTTATTTCATCCCTGTCAGAATTGCTTTTGTTTATTGTAAGCCTGTGGTTTCGACTCGCTCCAGACATAAAAACTCCCAGTTTTGATGCAGGTAATATGAAAAATATAGTGCATGACACGGGATAAAACACTATTTCAGACTTTGCCTCGTGGCAGCCAACTTTAATCTAGTCTGAAGTCGTCTTGTTTCATTCCTTGTCACGTTCATTTGTTAAAGTGTGACTGAAGAATCAAATAAAGTGACAAAAAAAAATCATGCGCTTTTTTTAACGAGAAACACAATGTGTGAAAACACAAAAATTCTAAGCCATTTTCCTATTTCTGGCTCTCTCTTTTTCAAACAACCTGGTCACGACTATTTCGAAACTCGATAGAGCAATAGAATTTCGATAGTCGGGAGTTCTTTTGCAGACCCTACGGAACTCTATTGTACGGCTGGTAATAAAGCCAGATAATTAGCTGGCTAAGCACTCAACTCGCCTGAAGTGTCCTCGCGACCGCCAGAGGGTATAGCTAGAGGAAGAACAAGAAGCTCTGCCTAAGGCAAGACCGTGTCTAATCTGAATCTGCAGCGCGGTCAATGTACATCTACACAATTGCCTGTAGCCCACTTCAGTATCATCGTTCACCAGTCCATGCTTATCCGCTAGTCCATTGTGAATTAGTAGGCTTGCCTAGAGGCCTGAAAAGCCTCACAGGACCTTATCAACTTGGAATATCATTAAACTCTTCTCCTGATGGGCATCGTCCTCTATATAACCATTCATGCATACACCCTGAACTTAGAGATTAATCAAACCCGTGAAAAGCAACTGCTCCGCTATGCTCAATGGTCCCCACAAAACTGTAGAGCGTGCTAACCATACGAAAAGGCAAATTGACAAAGTTCTTCTACTCAACGTTCGCTGCGCCATCTGGCGCATTTATTGCGAAGTCTGTCCTGCCGCGTCGAAAGCCACGCTTACGCGCTGACTTACGTAGCCTTCGTATCCAACCGCCACTGCTGTCCCGTGTGTATCTAGTAACTATACAGGGCTACTCGTGACAAACACATCACCTGAAGACGCTTCCACTACAGA